ACTGGCATGAAACATTACCTTTTGCGTTGCTTGCTTATCGCACGTCCGTTCGTACATCTACTGGGGCAACACCATTCTCTTTGGTATATGGGATGGAAGCAGTTTTACCTGTTGAGGTGGAAATACCTTCTTTGAGAGTATTGATGGAGTTGAAACTGGACGAGGCTAATTGGGTACAAAGTAGGTTTGATCAATTAAATTTGATTGAGGAGAAAAGGCTGAGAGCTATCTGCCATGGCCAAATGTACCAGAAAAGGATGATACGAGCATATGACAAGAAAATCAGACCTCGAGAATTTCGTGAAGGCGATTTGGTACTAAAAAAGATCCTACCTATGCAAAAAGACTTTTGAGGGAAGTGGATGCCGAACTGGGAAGGTCCCTATGTTGTAAAAAAGGCATTCTCAGGAGGAGCTTTGGTGTTAACAGAAATGGATGGAGAAGATTTGCCTAATCCCATGAATTCAGATTCGGTCAAACGATATTACACTTTAAAAAAAAAAAAGGAAATGAAAAAAGGGAAATGAAAAAAAAGGGAAATGAAAAAATAAAAAATGAAAAAGAAGAAAAATAAATAAAGGAGGGTTCAAGATGAAAACCCAAAATGGGCATCTTGAAACCAAAGGAGGATTCGAGTTGAAAATCCGTAATGGACGGCTCGAATAATCAGAAATTGAAATGGTGGATTCCCTCGGAAGCCTAACAGTTTAGGGAAAGACTCTCATGCTCACACATCTTTTGTACGATCTGAATCTTCGAAACACATGTAAACTTTCGAGAAAGATTTGGGGTGAAGAAATAGAAGGACTCAGCATTTGATATTCACTATGTTTGTCCATTGTTTTTCCTTTGTATATACTTGTTTTCTTGTCCCAAAAGATTGTACTTTCTCGTTACCTATCTTCAGTGAAATTTTTGAATTTGATTCAATGTCCTCGCATATATTCACCAAATTACTAATCAATAACATCGGTTATTATGCCTTACTCTGAAAAATGTAAGAGTATGGGGATTTTGAAACAGGTGTTCGCCAGAGAACACATACAAAGACACGCTCCCATAAATCATTGAGCAAACCATTGAAAAAAGGGTTCAGATTAAAGAAATCAATTTCAACATAATCATACTTTTCCCAAGCAAAGAAGTCCCAATTTAAAGGCATGCAACAAGGAAAGGCCATTCTGAATGAATTTTCTCTGAAAAATCAATCAATGACCAAAGAGTCAAAGAGGCAAGATAAACTCTCTCGGGGTGGATCAGAAGGACCAAGTCAAAGAATATTTAATGAGAGGTCAAGGAAGTAACCAGGCATGGGCAAACGCATAAATATCGCATATTCCGGTCAAAGAGTATGAGAGATTCCCAATGCCAGGATCGAATTGAGCATAACCCTTTAAACATGCATTTAGATCATCCTTAGGGCATATTGCTAACATGAAATCATGGCATATGACCATTTTTACAGGATCTTCAAGACTTATTTCATTATTGAAGCAATGAATCAGTCAACATCAACCGACCAGACTTCCTCATCACGTAGGAGCCGTGTCAACCTTAGATAATCAGCCGTCCTCATCACGTAGGAACCGAGTTATCACCCTTCTTAAAGATGGCCAGAGTTCTTCATCATGTATGAACCATGTCATCTACCCTTAGACGACCAGACTTCCTCATCACGTAGGAGCCGTGTCAACCTTAGATAATCAGCCGTCCTCATCACGTAGGAACCGAGTTATCACCCTTCTTAAAGATGACCAAAACTCTTCATCGCGTATGAGCCGTGTCATCCCTTGACCAGATTTCTTCATCGCGTAGGAATCGTGTTTCCCTTAGACGACCCGAACTCTTCATCACGTATGAGCAGTGTCGTCCCCAACAACCAACATTATTCAATTTCTAAGTTTGAAAGGGAGAGAACCAGATAAAAACTTGATGTCTTTTCATCTTTGCCCTATTCTTGTTAACACAAGAATGTGCAAAGAGGGGCAGCTGTAGACACCCGTTTTTGTCCGGTTTTTTTTTATTATTATTATTATTATCGTTATTTATTATTATTAATTAATTACATGTATTTTTGCAGGCCAAATTAAGGCCTGATTACAATTGGCCCAGAGACCAGAAGCCCAATTAACCCGGACCCAACCTAGCAGATTAGGGTTTCAAACCCTAAAACATATTAGGGTTTCAAACCCTAATCCCCTTCCAGCCGCCGTGTGACCCTTCTCTGCCTCAACGCCGCCACCATCACTGTTCCGGTCTGACCCCAACTATTGCACTATTGTCATCTACAGCAAAACCAATCAAGAAAATATATCATATACAGTTCAAATCTCACAAAATCTAAATTCCAAATTTAAATACCAATAAATCCCTAAATATTCGGGATTTCTATCCCACCAAGTCAGTGAGACCCATCCCCTATTTTTCCTAGATATCATCATCATCTCACCAGAAATCCGGAGGCAAGCAAACATAAAAGAGAAAAGAAGAGAAAATGGAGAACGGTCGGTGATAAAAAAAAACAGAGGATAAAAAAGAAGATACGAAATAGAAAAAAAGAGAAGAAGAAAAGTTTTACCTTCTCGAACCACCACCGTGAATCTCGTTGTGACCTTCTCCGATTCCAGCTAGCCCCGTATTGGAAGGTAAAGCCTTCTCCTCTTCTAGGTTGATTAGGGTTGGAGTGCAGTGGGTTTTGGGGTTTTGATTCGCTTAGGTTTTTAGGTGAGAGAGAGGTGAGGTTACTCCCCATGGCCACCGATCTACGGTGGCCGGGGAGTTTAGGGTTTAAATCCTCGGTTGAGGATGAGAGAGGGAAGGCCGGGGAGTTTAGGGTTCTCTAGGGTTTTCACCGCCGATTTACGGCGTTTGTGACCTTTCTTTTTTTTTTCTCTCCATGGCGGAGAGAGGTGGAGGGCCTCTTTGGTTCTTTGTTTGCTGGAGAGAAGGGGTGAGAAGGAGAAAAGTTGAGAGCCTTTTCGACTCTCTGTTATGAGTGAGGAGAAAGGGAGATCGGCTGAGGGCTAAAGGGGTTAGGGTTTTCAGATAACCCTTTAAGTGGGTTATGTTACAAACGCCGAACGACACCGTTTAGAGGGGTCGGGGTTTCCGCGTTTTCCAGTGTAAAGGGTAAATAGCACCTTAGGTCCCTCGCAGTTGTAATTTATTTATTTCAATCATATACTGAAAGTTTGCTTTATTATATTTTGAGCACTTATGTTTCTGTATTTCTATTTTAGTCCCAATTTCTTGTGTTATGATATTTTGTGGGTGTTTGAGTTTAGCCATCATATTTGCAAATGTTCTATTTTGGTCACTGTCCGACATTTTGTTTAATTACTTTTTGATCCTCCGTATTTCTGTGAAATTGTTTTAGTCCTCATTTACATGTTTTGTGTAATTATTTGATTTTGAGCCTTAGAGTTTAGATTTGTTTCATTCCAGTCCTTATTTCATGTTGTTTCTTATTTTTTACGTCATTTAATTTCGTGCATATTATTTTGTAGATCTCCATTTTAATCTTATTGGTATTGGTTTTATTTGATTCTAGTGCATGTTTATTTTCTGAAATTTATTATCAGGTCCTTGTTCTTTCTCATCATTGTTGTATAATCTTAAGGCTGATTATTTCTTTAGATCTGGTCAACATGATGTAATATTTATTTTATATTATATATATATATATATATATATATTCCCTTATATTTTCTATAACTCACGCATAGTACTTTGTATAATAAATCATTATTTTATAGATAACGTATATATATATACTAAATATGTTTTATTTTGTGTTATATTATGCGCATATTTATTTATCTATTTCAATTTATATTCTTATTTTTATAATCTATTTACATGTTTAAATATGCATTTAGCTATTAATTTTTACTCATTTATGTGTTGTTATTCGAATGTATTTCAAGAACACGTATTTGTAGAATGGGCCTGGAGAGTATCACTTGATCGAAGTGGTACAATCTAATACGACGTTCAAACAAGAATATAAAATGCAAATTCTTCCTTTTTACAAGCTTATAGAAATTATTTTTATTGTTATTCTATTTTTTATTTGATGTTCATATTGTTTAATATTTAAATTTTAATCTTTATTATTATTTCTTCATTGAATCTTAATATGAGTGATGTATGTTTTGGAAAAGTATAATATGATGCATTTTATGTCAATTTTCGTCATTATTTTTTAATTTAATTTAAAGAGAAAATATTCTTTACAAGTAAGAAATAGACGAGGTAGCTTTCCCGGCGGAGGATTGCAAATCTCGGGATTTCTTATCGAGAAAAGGATTTTTTTTTATTATTATTTAATATTCAATAAATAGATCATAATTTATTTATTATTCTATTTTCATAATTGGTATTGTATTAATGGTTGTTATGTTAATATTAACGGTACATAAATTAAGCATATCTTATTTTCTACTCATGACGATATTATTTAGTGGTAATTCAAAGATAGGATATACTTTATAGATAAGAAATAGATGAGGTAGCTTTCCCGTTGGAGGATTGCAAATCTTGAGATTTCTTACCGAGTGAATTATTTCTATTATTTTAACAAATATTCAATAAATAGATCATATTTTTACTTCATATTCAAATTGTAATTTCCACCATTTACGACGATGTGTAAGCAACACAGTACCAATTTTGGGCGTTGTGGGGTGTTTACCCTTCCCCACACGTAACCGATTCCCGAACCTGTTTTAAATGAATCTTTGGTAACGTAGACCAAATTTTTGCCTTATAAAATTATTTTTCTTAAAATTGTTTTTTTTTTTAAAAAAAAGACGTTTTTAGGTATTTGACCTACCTAACCCAAAGGTCGATGGCGACTCTTTTCAATTTTATTCAAATCCCTTCAAAATCACCAAATTTTCCAAATTAAAGTCATAATCGTTTTTTAAAATAATATTAAATAGTTTTAAAAAAAAATGGTTATGACACCATATATCAAAGTTAACGACAATGTTTTATATAATGGAGTCTATTTGCTTGGAGATCAATTTAAACATGAATACATGAAAACCTGGGAAAGTTATTTTTGCTAATCTACTTGTATACAAGGAATGACACAACATTAAAATATTCGGAGTTGCAGCTGAGAAACAGCATCCATGGTGATCTCCAATTCAAGGTAAGACCCTTTGGAGGAAATGGTTCAGTCGGCTAGCTGCTGAAAAACAGAGTACATAGTTGGTCTAAAATGTGGATTGTCTGCCAAGCACCTAAAAGCTATCTTCATCACAGATATCAGTTGGTCCTGAAAGTCTGGTGATGGAGGTAAACACCTTCGATCCAAAACATCGTTCACCAGAAGCTGCATTTCAAGAGATGAATATGGTAGATTGGATATCAAATCACCAGGATGTGATCACATGATAACTTCCATAATCAATACTCCGAAACTATAAACATCACATTTTTCTGTTACCTTCATTGTGTAAGCAAGCTATGCAAAAGCAAAAAAATTACAATCAATTACAGAATGATGATCTACCTTTCATGCCACAAAAGATTTCTATGAAAAACAATACCTGGTGCTACATATCCATACGTTCCAGCAAGATTAGTCCAATTAGATGAGTCTGGATTGAGAAGTTTAGCCGTTCCGAAATCTGAAATGTGAGCTTCAAATTCCAAGTCGAGCAAGATATAGTTGCTGGAAAGGTCCCGATGAACAATCGGTGGTGAGCAATCATGGTGCAAGTAAGACAAGGCATGAGCAACCCCTTTTATTATATTCACCCTTTTATCCCAATCCAACTCTTTTGCTGCTTGTTCATTGCTCAGATTTGCAGCCAAACTACCCTTTTCAAGGTATTTGTAAACCAAGAATGAGTGTTCACCAGAACAACAAAACCCAAAGAACTTCACGATATTTTGATGCCATATGTCTACCAACGCCATTACTTCATTTTGGAATTCTTTTGCAGCTCTAACTTCATCAGAACGCAGTGCATGGACTTTCTTCACAGCTACAATGTCACCTGATGACGGCTGATCTACTCGGTATACATTTCCGTATCCTCCCTTTCCGGTGCAACACTGAGAACTAAAGTTTCAATTGAGTTAACTAGCCTAGTTGAGCTGGAATTCTCTGGCTGAAATTGTTACAACTCAAATTCAAGTAGTACAATTTCAAACATATCCCCTATTGTGTCAGGGATGGACTGACTCAATCTGTTTGCAGACAAATCAAGGTACTCGAGATCGGAGAAAGATCCAACTTCCAGTGGTATACCACCAGAGAGTTGATTTCCAGACAAAATAGGCCTTGACAAAGAAGTCAGTTTTGTCAGTTCCTTTGGAATCTTCCCAATTAAATGATTTGAGGAAAATCTAGCGATTGAAGCTGAACTGAGTCTCCAAGCTCAGGTGGTATTCTGCCAGTGATGTTGTTCCCAGCAATCAATAAGGTGCTTAAATTATTGCATAATGCCCACTTAGGTGAAATTTCACCATAAAAGTGATCGTCACTAAGGCCTATGAAGTCCAAGCTAGGATACACTCCAAAATCTTCTGATATATTTCCAGTCAGCCTGTTTCTTTCGAGGCGCAATCTTTTAAGGCTGCTGCAATCTGCTGCAAAATTTCAAGTCATTGGGTATTGGACCTCTGAAATGGTTGCCATTGGCTGTGAAATATTCCAGTGCTCCACCTCTACAAACGTTCTGTGGCAGCTCCCCAGTGAATCGGTTTGTATCGAGTTCCAACATCCACATATTCATGAAGTTCCCTATTTCTCGAGGTATGGGACCAGAAAGCCGGTTGTCTCGAAGGAACAACGTTTGCAAGTTGCTCAAATTAGCAAGTGAAGATGGAATAGAACCATTGAGTTGGTTTTGACTCAACTCTAGGAAAACCAATGATTGCAAGTTTCCTAACTCTTCAGGAATGTGGCCGAAAAGTTTATTTTCATGAAGTTGGAGAATGGTCAGACTTGTCAAGTTTCCAAGTGAAGCCGGGAAGAAACCAGATAGATTGTTCCTGTAAATTACTAAATCAGTCAGCGATTTCATATGCCCCAACTCAGAAGGGAGCGGTCCTGAAAGACTGTTGGTAGACAAGTAGAGCAATCTCAAATTTTTCAGGTAACCAAAACCGGAAGGGATGGTACCTGTGAGTTGGTTGGTGTCTATATAAAGTTCCTGCAAGCTGCCAAGGTTTCCCATCTCCGAAGGAATGTTACCAGAAAGGGAATTATTTGACATATACAAGTAGGTCAGGTTGGCCAGATTGACTAAACAAGAAGGGATGGGACCATTTTGGTAGATATTTTGCAAGGCAAGCCCTTGGAGGGACTCTAGCTGACCTATTTCTTCAGGAATGGAGCCATTAAACTGGTTTTGAACAAGGTGAAGAATCTTTAGATGAATAAGCTGACCAATTTGTTGAGGGATTTCACCAGGCAAATCATTATATGACAAATCAAGGTAGGTAAGTTTAGAGAGTTGATTGATTTGAGGCGGGATTGTGCGGTAAAGTCATTGATGCTAAGGTCTAACTCTTCAAGATTAGGCAATGAGGAGAAGGGAAATGCACGGAAGTCACCTTCTACACCGTAGCTCGTAAGATTGATTCTGAAAACGCTGTCGCCCTTGCAATGGATTCCAAACCAACGGCATGGAGTTCCCTTCCGGGAGAGACCGTCCATGAAGGCAAAACAGAACGGTTCGTGAGGGATTGAAGGCTGGCTTTCCAATTGAGGAGCGCGAGTGCTTCTGCAGTAGAATTCGACTGAACATCGGACAAACAAGCATGCAACGTAAGAAACAGGAGAAAGAAAGCAAACAAGGCTACTCTCTTCTTCATCATCAAAATAGTATTGACGACGGTGATTGAGTATGTTCATCTGCAACTTGGATGTATCTCGAGATTTATAGTCTTGAACCTCAGCATGAGTCAAAGTTTCCATTATTGGTGTTTCTTTTAATCATAGCACAGTTGAATCTCAATAGTCAATACCCATGCTTTAAATATAAAAGGATAAAAAGGTATGACTTAGAAATCACTCCTTTCAGATCTTCAATTCCATAGTCGGCTAATCGACTTGGAAAAGACATTGGAAGCAAGCACTTCTTCTTAATTCAAAAGTTAGAAAAGAATCCATCCGCAATATTCCTAAAGTCATAATTCTCATCTTAATCAACTATGTACGAAACACTATTTTTTTAAATCGAAAAAAAGAGATAAAATCATCAGATTTAAATAGAAGAATTTCGGAAGAGCAAACAAACAAAGGAGGTAATATTCGTTTGCCCAAAGTGGTTAGATTTGAATTTCAAATACATTAGTAATTTTATGCTCCATAAATATTTTAACAGTTATGTCAAAGTATCAGCAAATATAAAAACTTTAAAATGTCAGTTTTTTTTCACAACATTTTCCTCTTGATGCAGTTATTTTCTTTTTATCCGACGGGTTCTACGAGTTTTTCAATTTCAAGGAACGGACTGATGACCTTGGTTAGTCGTCGGTTGTTTTTTTTTATAGATCTGGTTATGTATAAACAAGATTACTCTTTATTTTAGCGAGAGTTTTAAGAGTTTCCATTACTTTTTAGTTTGCTTGTTTTTAGCACTTTTTGGCCTTCCATTTTTTGTTTGTTGGGTAGTTAGTTATTTGGGTTTATCTCTTTTCAAATGTGTCGAGACGTTTCTTTGCCCGGCGACGGAAAAGACAAATAATACACATAAGTGTAAATGTCTCGAAAAAAATAAATGTTTATCTTCCTTGAATTAGATAAAACATCATTTTAAGGAGTCACCACCAATCATTTATTGAGGTGCGATTGGTCACCAAATATTATGTTATTTTAATAAAATTCCTAAGAATAATATTAAAATAACACAACAGGGGTCTGCTTACCAGAGAATGAGTCCGGGAGTCGGTTACGTATGGGGAAGGATTAGTACCCACAATACCCAAAATTGGTACCGTTGTTTACTAATTATTTGTCATTGCAATAAAATTTATAAATTTATATTTAATTTTATCATAAATAATAAAAAAAACTAAATTACTAATTATTATACTATTTATTATAATTATTAACATTACATAGGTTAAATTATAAAATATATAGATTAATAATACTAATTCAAAATATTATAAAATATAAGTGTTGATAGTGTAATTTAACAATAAATAATAATACTGGATAAAATATAAATTATTAAAAATTATAGTGTAGACACAGACTAAAATATAAATAAATAAAATTAAAAGATAAAATTAAAAAGCATAAAAACCTACTTTTGGTGACCAAATCGAAGTATTACAAAGCTGAAAGGACCACAAATGGGATTAAACCATGCCTATATTACATAGACAGTCCCTCTCCCAAAACGACGTCGTTCGAGGAGGGTATTTAAAGACCCTAATCGACCCTTTAAGTCCCTCCACGGTGGCCGAAAAACACTAAACCAAAATAAAGCCCGATTTTCCCTAAACTTAGATCGACCCCCTTTTTTCCTAAAACCCAACCAAACGCTGTAGATATAACCTTTTACCTTCTGTGTTTTGTCTTCTCCGGTGGCGCGTGGAGGTGACGAGATGCTCCGATGACTTTGGGTAAGCTTCTTTTCCTCTTTCTTTCGTATTGCTTACTGTGTATAGTGTATTTCTCTCTGTCTTTTGTTGTTGTTGTTGTTGTTGTTGTGTGTTTGTTGCTTGTAGGTTCGATCGCCTTTTATAGGCTTTAGTAATCAGGCATAATGATAACTTTTCGGTGAGTCACCGGACCTACGGTGGTGACTCACCATAGAGTTATGTGTTGTACGATCGATGCCTCTTCTGGAGTCTTTTACTGAGGCGGTGGAGGCGTGGCAACCGTGGATTGAAACAGTTGGAGGCGGTGGCCAGAATAGGCCCTAGGGTTGTAATGAAACCCTAAGGCTTCTGCTTAAAAAATCTAGACCGTGGATTATCGTCTGGATCGGACGGCTGAGGTGAGCTGACGGCTAGAGATGTGTTGTGGAAACCCTAGTTGCATTTTGGACCTTTCCCGAGTTTTCTAGGATTGGGCCTGGATGGAGTTATTGGGCTTGAACCGGTTGTAAATTGGGTCTGGATCTGCTTGAATCTGAACCTCTTTATTATAATCAGGCCTTGTAATTATAATTATAATAATAATATATTATAATATTATTATAATATATTATATATAATAGAAACGTCACTCGGATGAAAATAATTGTCGACAGCTACCCCTCTTTGCCTATTTTTGTGTTAACAAGAATAGAGCAAAGATAAAAGACAAGAAGTTTTCATCGAGTGGACTTCATGCTTTGATGGGAAATTCGTTCCACTACTCTTCCATGGAGATCGAATTTTGATATGATCTTGGTTCACTACTCTTCTGTGGAGGCTGAGGATGATTTATAAATAATTTGCTTCACTACTCTTCCGTGAAGGTTGAAAATGATAAACTTGAGAATACTATGTTTCACTACTCTTCCGTGAAGATCAGATTCAAGTTTGATTTGTTTCCACTACTCTTCTGTGAAGGATGAGGATGATTTGCAAATGATTTGCTTCACTACTCTTCCGTGAAGGTTGAAAATGATAAACTTGAGAAGAATCTGTTTCACTACTCTTCCATGATGATCAGATTCGAGTTTGATTTGTTTCCACTACTCTTATGTGGATGTTGACAATGATCAACTTCACTACTCTTCTGTGAAGGTTGAAATTATTGACTTCACTACTCTTCCGTGAAGGTTAAAATGATCAACTGCACTACTCTTTCGTGAAGGTTAATTTGAGGTTTATTTGTGTAACACCCCGAACCCGTATCTGACCTGGATCCGAGTCCGAGATGTCACATTGACTTTTCAAACATTTTTCTTTACAAAATGACTAAAAGTCAAATTCAAAATTCAAGAAAATGATTACTTTTCATTTATTTAAAATCAATTAGTTTTACAAAACATATCAGAGCGTATTCAACTCAATTCTATTAGTACATGCAAACTATATTCAAGATAACAAAATATATAATCATATCTATTTCTTTTCTGATCTGAACTTCGTAAAGGAGATGCTGACCTGTCTTGCTCCTCTTAGCTTCTCTTTTCGCTTTCCGAAACCTACGTGTGAAACACTCACACGCTAAGTCGATGACTTAGTGAGGCATATAAAACATATAGTGTAAACTCTAACTTCTAACAATGCATGAATAACTAATGCTATCAATTCATACAAAATCATATATTTTTTCTTGTAATATATACACATATGCACATATATCACCATCTACGTTCTTATTAATTTCATATAGGTTATCATTAATCCCTTTTATCTTATCATCTAATCTTTAACACTCATACACATCATATCATATCACCAAACAAACACATAACATCACATAGAATTTACTCATGTTGTATCCTTTAGATAACCCATGTACACATGTGAGAACTAAAGATATGCGAGTACATTGAGGTTGTGCACATATGCTGTCACCACAGCTCGTATAAGTCCCACTGAGTGGCATGTGAAATATGTCTCGAAGGACCTATGCATATGTTCTGAAGGACCTATGTATATGTCCCAAAGGACCTATTAACCCTCGACTCTTGGCATGGCAACTATACCTATAGCTCTCATATCACATAACATCGGCATTTATGAAAGTTCATACCACTTATATCGCATAGACATATTCACATGTACATGTCACTTTTCATATGATTTCACATTCATATGTCACATAGCTTATAATACTTCTCATATGGTTCTATATATATATAATCCACATCTCACAATTTTATTAAGCACATAAATTTTCCCAATATAACTTATCTTATATATTCGTATTATTACTTATGTTCAATTCTCCTAATTGATATACTATTCTCATATTATCCTATAGGTCACTCTTATTTAGCTTATCTCACTTCTCATTTAATCATTTAATTCTATTATACCAGTTTACATAAATGATCATACAATCATGTACTTGTCTATCTCATATTTCTATTCTTTATATAACCTTTACACATGCTTACCTAACTCATTTCATTTCCCATGAACTCACTTTTATCCTATTATCATATTATTACATAATTTGTCTCATAATTCATTATCATATGGTTTATATTTTGTTCTCTTATGAATATATATCTCATGTAGTACATCGATCACACAATAGCAAGTCAAAATATATATTTATGCACACATATAAATCATAACAAACACATGCTCGTATTCATGAATTCATACACTTTAATATGGAAATAGACTCATTGCAAGTCTTATTTCCATAAAACTTTATATAATTAGTAGTAAGCACTCACCTGGCCTCATTAGTCAATTCGAACACTTATAACTCTTCCTGATCGATCTCATCTCGTTGATTCATCCGGTACTTGCTTTCGATCAATATCTACAAAATTATATATTCCAAGTATTATAATTAAATCCTTAATTTCTTAAGCTAAAAGAAAAGTATATTTTCATTTCCCCTTTGAAATAGTATCGGTACCCCCTATAGGGTATCGATACATTCACTAACTGTGGTATTGGTACCATGCCTAGGTATCGATACCTATATTGCATCTGTAATTCTCGTTCAAAGATGGTATCAATACCTTCCTCAAGGTATCGGTACCTTGGGTATTAATACTGTTCTTCCCAGGTATCGATACCCTTTGAATGCCTTTGTATTTTTACTCTTGAAGTATCAGTACCTGATGAATAGGTACCGATACCCATAGCCCATATTTTCCTTTTTAAGCCTGAAAATCCACTCATTTTAGCTCAAACACTCCATGTTTCATCCTCTTTAATACACTTAACTCACATATACATACCCAAACCAATTTCTATGCATTTAATACATGTTTATCCTCTAAGTCTCATCATTAAATTAAAAATCAAGAATCATACCAAATTTTCTATATGTTCTAATTT